GTTTGTACGTTTAGGTTTATTGTACCCCTTTGTATATATATTTATAATTGTTTTCTTGGCACAATAAACGTTCGTTAAAAAAAAAGAAAAAAAGTTGGGGCTAGCGCTAGCCTTTGCAGGTAGCGTTGGTGACGTCGCCGGTTTCCCCGTCACTGTTTTCGGCTCCGGTTGCGATAATGGCGGCCTCTGGCTTTCTTCCCACTTGCTGGCATTTCTCTCCTCTTTTAATTGGTTGGAGAGATCTTCTATTGTTTTATTCAGACTTTTAATCATCTGCATAAGGTCGTTATAACTGGGTGTATTTTTAGCTGGTTTTGCCTTCATTTTTCAGGGAATGAATGACAGTTCAGGTTTTAGAGTTCTCTTTCGGTGAGTTAGGTTGGGTGCCGGGTTTAGTCTTTTCACATTTGATGATTGTTTCATTGTCTTTCTGGTGTGCGATTTTAATATCGCGTTGTTAAGAATATCGACACTTTCATTTGTTAGAATGCACACACTCGCGTGTGTCCGTTTTTTTTCCGTCGCGTCATTTTTTTCGTCTGTGGCTACATGGATAGCCCTTTCGGGGGTTAGGCCCCTTCTTGGTTTATACTCCGTATCTATTGTCAGCGATTTTCTAAATTTATTCTGTTATAATAATGATTAATATGTAACTATAGTTATTTCACTATTGTTCACTATAGTTATGCACTATTTACTGCACACAAGTAGGAGCTCCTCAAAAATACGTCCGTCATCTCTAAGCGAGAATCATACCCCTAGACCAACGAGCCATCTTGGAAAACGATACTTTTACATTGCAAGCGATCGTGGAGAATCAGTCAATGACCAACTATAGAATGTCAAGTTGATCGTTCGGTTGGTAACGTCGAAGACATTTCGAATAAATCTGACAGGTTGATCCTGTCAACGTTGATGTTTCCTAATCTCAGTCGTACGATTTAGAAAGCACTGTAATTCTATTCTACATATATTATAAAAAAATTAAATGGTATACACTATATGAAGATATTTATAATATTTTATTGTTATAAATTATTCAATAGAAACGTCATAAATATTACTAATGAATATTTATAATGACATATTAATAATTAATTTCTGTTTAACTATTTTGAAGCATGGTGATGATGAAGGTGAAAAAAGTTTTCAAGTTGGCTCGTTGGTCTAGGGGTATGATTCTCGCTTCGGGTGCGAGAGGTCCCGGGTTCAAATCCCGGACGAGCCCGGATGAATCTATACTTTTTTCCTTGTTTTTTAAATTTATTTGTTAATTTTTGCGAAAAGATTCGATAATATAGTGTCTCTTCCAATACATCTTATTGTAATATGAAAAGACTACGTCCAAATACTTCCAATCCTGAATACAATTAATTTACTCTGCTGTTTTCTTGAATTTTATTAAGAAACACAACATCTATGAAAGTTTAAATTTTATTTCGAAACGTATAAACATTAGTCAAACATGCTCACCAGTTCGAATCCATGATAAAAATGTTGTGTTCTGTGACACGAATTTCTATCCACATTTCTCTTGTGACCCAATTTAAACAAAATTAAATGTCGCGTTTTCATTTCGTCACTGATTGTGTCTTTAAATTAATTTTCAACCAATGTTTTAAACTTTGATAACCGACACCAGAAGTGGGCAAAGTTTATTCTCGAGTAACGAATCAAAACTTTGGATTTATACTTGAATTTCGTTTACCTTATATTTATAAAATTTACAAATTCGAATCCATTTTAAATGGGTCTACGAACAAGTTTAAAAATATTATTCGTTATTTATGAATAAAATTTGTCCAACGCAGACACAAATAACATTATTAGTGTTTAAAATTTGTTAAAACTGTCGAAAATGATGAATTATTTTCCAGATTATTTATTTATCGATTAATTTCATATTATTTTAAGACAAAGGAGTTACACGGATTTGATTGAAAGGAACTACGCTGCTGATTTGTAAAAAAGAGACAGTCGCAGTTACACGATAATTAAATCACGCGGTGACCTATTTTTTTTCAGTTTGGACGATAATAAAAATATTTCGATTGACCTTGCATCGATTTGTTCCTTCAAGAATTATTTCTAAATTGTGAATATTTATACATGAGAAATAACTAAAGAATGTGCAATATTGCTGCGCATAAAATATAAATATAAGATTTAAATATATTCAACGCGTGCATATAATACGTATGATTTACATTTACAACATTATTCAAACTCTGAACATTTCATTAAACTTTCGAAAATATTGTACACGATTTAACGTAATTCAATAACCTAACATGTACTTATAATTAACAAAATTTAGCGAAACAAATGTAGTACAAGGAGGATAGTTAATAACATTTGCATATCTAACAACTAAGTTACTGTTCTGTTACGCTGTAATTCACATGTTGCAGTAAATATCAACAGCCCATAAATTTTAATATTAACACCAACCCATAGGAACTAAAGGCAAAAAGAAAAAGTCTAGTTTAATTAAGAAAAATATTTCTATTAATTAAATTGTACAAGCACATCATTAATAATACACTTCTAACAAATACTAACATATTTGTAGAATTTTTAGACTTGTTTTCTCTGAATGTGATTTAAAATTATCGTGGCCCAATGGATTTGTAGATTAATAAAATTTGTTAAAATTACTTCCTTCCTCTTAATTGTTGATCATTTGGTACTACAATTGCAGTGTGTCTTCCTACGCGTGTTTAAGGACTAATTCAGTTCACGAACGATCAATTTTAGTGGTTACTTTTACCCAAAATAAATTCCTTAGTGACTTTTAGGAAGTGTCTGAAGCTACCGGAAAACGGATCGCGAGCAAAAATCGATACTATGGTGTTGTTGGGATCGATGAAGGTTGTCCGCGATAACAATGCAAATAAGAGAAGAAAGAATCGAGTACAGAAGTGCCCAGTCATTTTACATTCGATAAATGAAAAACAGCCTCGCGCAGCCGAGCATATATAAAGGGGATGGTTGTGCTATCACTCTCAGTGAAGCAGTTTCTCTTAGCTGATTGAAGGTATCCATTCAAAAAATTGCAATTTCCTGTCCAGTCTTTCCAGCAAGCACAACTCCCAGGCAAGTAGACTGATTCATTTCTAATTTCCTCCACGTTTTCGTCCCTATCTTTTATTTATTTACCAATTAACGATCGTTAACTGATTTGCATTTCTGTCTTGCAGATTGGTATTGTGAAATAAGTTACTGAAACAATTGTTTATACTACTTGCGTTCTATATGTACCTTCATTTCGAGTACTTATCTATGTACAAAAATTAAAAATTAATAATGTATCATAGGATTAATGGAATCGTGTTTCAAAAGCATCTTATTTATCTAGACATATCAGTTCAGAAATGTATTATTTCTCATTTGTTCAAACTAGTAAAGAACGTCCTGATAGTCGTAGTAAATGATTTTCAGAATAATTTAAGAAATATTGAGGAATGGAAAAGAAATCACACACCGGAGGGGCAAAAAATTATTTGAACTTGAAGTATTCTTAAAAGATTTACAAACATGTAGAATACCTATAATCACTTAACGGTTGGACAGATAAACTATCAAGCAGGGGAAAAAGAAAAATAATCGTTATAAAACAAACAGAACACTTTATTTATAAATATGATACTTTTTGATTACGATTAAATTAATATTCATGCGACGGAAGACTTGTTTACTATCAAATTTATTTTATACTTATATTATTATTTTGTTTATCACAGTCTGTATATTCTTTAAAATTTTTATCAAAGTGAACGTGGAAAGTATTTAACTATTATTCTTCGTAACAGTTTATCAATTAATGTTAAAAGATGGAGTTGTAATTTCTATTAAAGGGAGGAAAGACGAATAGTCGAAATGGATCGACGACAAGGAAAATAGTAAATTCACATGTACATACTCATAATGTTTTTTGCTCGTTTGATTATAATTTTGTTCGAAAAAGTGGAGGCCGTTATGCACGAACGCGTCGATTTTATTCCCTTCCGGGTGTTCGGGATTAGTTCAAGGTTGTTCTTTCTGCATTTTATAGTTTCGTTACTTGTTTCGTTTTTTGCTGGTTATGTAGACAACTTTTCGCCAGTAAGAAGAGCAAACGGATTAAAACAACTTTTCAAATTATACAAAGCGTTTCTTTGAAAAATTTAAATCTACTTATTTTTGGTAAAAAATGTGAAATACAAAAGTTTCTTAGTTTCGAGGGGAAAGTATATCTGGTTTATACACGAAAAGGATCGTAGTGCTGTTCAATATTCATAATACGTTTTCAAAATGTTCTCTGAAACCTTTCGAGAAATAAAAAAATAAATAAGTCAGACATATTTACCCTTGAAACTAAGAAACAAAAAATGTGATATTTAATTTATATATTTTTCTGACGTTATACCGATGCGTACGTACTAAAGGGCCCTTCCATAAATGAATAAATAAATATTGCTTTTATTATCCAAAGTCCCTGTAAATTCTGATGCTATTGTTGCTCGAGTATCTCGCGTTTGATTGGCGGGGGATTCCTCCGAGATGCTTGTCGAAATAGGACCTTTTCTTCATTCGCGCGGACAGATTAATTTTTTTGTATAATTATGGAGAAAGCGAGAGAAAGTTTTCTATGTCTCAGCATTCGTCTTTATCCAGCGCGATTCAAGCGAACCCACTTCGTCGAGGACCGTTCTTGGCTCGACACGTGCGTAATAGTTTTCTGTGATAATCCATGTTCGATCCAGTGACATCGATATTTCGACGCGATCTCGAAGTTCGTGCTCGATCTGGCGCTGATTTTACGCGAGGTTCGCTTCGTTCTAAAATTTCTTTAATAAGAAACGAAGGTTTTGCCGAAACATTAAAATATTTTCGTCGATACTGTGCGTTCACGAAGCCGTGGATTATTTTCGACGACTGTGTCGCTTCCTCGTTCGAATATCATCTTTCTTCTGTCGCGTAGGATTAACTATTCAAAGGGTTTGTTTTCCAAGGAATTAAATAAATAATGGACACGAAAGAATTCATTGACTTTGGCAAGGCAGTCATCGATTTCGTGGCTAATTATACGGAAACTCTAAGAGAGAAGAACGTCCTTCCAGATGTTGAGCCCGGATATCTCAGCGAATTGATACCCAAAGAAGCGCCACAGGAAGCGGAAACGTGGCAGGAGGTGCTGAAAGACGTCGAACGATACATCATACCGGGAGTAAGTATTTATTTCGATTATTATAACTCGGCAGAGAACTCATTTTGTGGACAAAAACAAAGAAAAAACAAAAATCTTCGATAAAACAGAATATTTAGTTGTGAATTTCATTGTTTATTTTTTTTAACCGGATCAATTGGATGAAATTTTTAGGTAACTCATTGGAATTCGCCGCATTTTCACGCATTCTATCCAACTGCGAACTCGTATCCGGCAATTGTGGGTGAAATTTTGAGCAGCGGTATCAGTTGTATCGGTTTTTCATGGCTCGCTTCTCCCGCGTGCACCGAGCTCGAAGTCATTACAATGAACTGGCTGGGAAAATTACTAGGATTGCCAAATGAGTTCTTGAATTGCAGCGAAGGGCCTGGAGGAGGTGTTATACAAGTACATAATCATTAATTTAATATTCAATATATAAATTTGAAAGTAAAATTCCATGCATCGTAAAACATACCACAAATATCGATTTTCTTTTTTTACTACTGTTTAGTTCTTCTATGCTCTTTAAAAATTCAATTTTTATTAATGTATATCTGCATTATTTTTTAAATCCATGCGAAAGAAATTACAATGAAAGATAGTAAATTATTTTTTACTTAAAACATGTTTTATATAAATAATTTTATTTATTTAAATGTAAAAGTTTATTTAATGTCAATAATATTTTGTGTCTTGGAGGACTAAACAAGTTTCAACAATTTCTAATAGTATAATACAAAATTCAATTTTTATTGATGTATATCTGCATTATTTTTTAAATCCGTGCGAAAGAAATTACAATGAAAGATAGTAAATTATTTTTTACTTAAAACATGTTTTATATAAATAATTTTATTTATTTAAATGTAAATGTTTATTTAATGTCAATAATATTTTGTGTCTTGGAGGACTAAACAAGTTTCAACAATTTCTAATAGTATAATACAAAATTCAATTTTTATTACTGTATATCTGCATTATTTTTTAAATCTATGCGAAAGAAATTACAATGAAAGATAGTAAATTATTTTTTACTTCAAACATGTTTTATATAAATAATTTTATTTATTTAAATGTAAAAGTTTATTTAATGTCAATAATATTTTGTGTCTTGGAGGACTAAACAAGTTTCAACAATTTCTAATAGTATAATACAAAATTCAATTTTTATTGATGTATATCTGCATTATTTTTTAAATCCATGCGAAAGAAATTACAATGAAAGATAGTAAATTATTTTTTACTTAAAACATGTTTTATATAAATAATTTTATTTATTTAAATGTAAATGTTTATTTAATGTCAATAATATTTTGTGTCTTGGAGGACTAAACAAGTTTCAACAATTTCTAATAGTATAATATAAAATTCAATTTTTATTAATGTATATCTGCATTATTTTTTAAATCCGTGCGAAAGAAATTACAATGAAAGATAGTAAATTATTTTTTACTTAAAACATGTTTTATATAAATAATTTTATTTATTTAAATGTAAATGTTTATTTAATGTCAATAATATTTTGTGTCTTGGAGGACTAAACAAGTTTCAACAATTTCTAATAGTATAATACAAATTTGAATGACTATAATTCTACGACAGTTTGATGTCCTGTTGTACCCGTTTATAATACTTGCATTTCTCGCTAGAGGGATACGTTTCTCGCTTGCAAAATAGCGTCCCTCCTAGCATAACTAGCAGCATTGTGGTTGCAACGTTACTCTGGTTTCCCTTCAAACTACGCATAAATCTTTCGCCTTTTACTAAAGATTTCCGTGGAGGGGAACAATTGATGAGTCTATAAGACAATTTTTTCTGTACCCGACGAAAGTTGGGTCGTTAAATAATACAAACACAATTTTCAGGTTACGATTTTAAATTGTTATTCGTTAGAACAGTCAAACTGGTCTAAATACGAAACAATTTATATTCGTTTGTTGACTGCTCCGCACAAATTTTTTGTAGTTATTTTTATAAACTTTATCTCAATGTTGCTTAGTAAAGTAGTCAACGGAAATAATTATGTATATGTATGAGTTGCTGGTACAGTGGGTGTAAAAAGTTATTCGTACAAGTTACAGTTTATTACATCTATGATTCAAATTTTGTTGTTTAAATACAACGTAATTAGTTTCAAATTTATATCAGTCGGCTTAGAAACGTTGTCTGGAATTGTAGCACAGCCATACAGAGCAGTATTTATCATTTACTGCAGCAACATGGGTCGAAAAAGTAAGGAAACTACTGTAGAAGAGCGAAAAATAATTATTAATTTTCATAACCAGTGCAAAAATTTACCCAAAATATCGCGTATTGTAAAAAGAGCAAGATCTAGAATACAAGGAATCATCGATAGATACGGATTACGAGAAACATTGCAAAATTGTGTGAGAAGTGGACGACTATGAAAAATTTCTGAACGTAATAGTCGATTCATTAAAAACAATTCGAATATGAGTGCAACAAAGTTCGCTAAATTTAGTTAATTCAATACCTACAGGGGAAAACCTTCTAAATATTAATTATAAATATTAATTCTACAATTATTTGTTGTTTTTATTACAAATGCATAAATTGTTTATACACTTGATAATGACAAGAGAACTGTACGAACACATATTACGCTTCCATTTCTGTTATTTTGTTAATTTTTCTTGATATTTATATAAACAATATAAATATTTTTTTGTTTACTTGATACTGTTGTACTGCAGACTTTGGAGAATACATGTAACATGTTTGTTTAAAAAATATTGTATAATAAACATTATTATTCAGCATTTTAATCGTAATTAATCATTGTACGATTCTATGTAATAATTCTTAGGATGAAAATTTTCAACGTCATAAAAGTTGTTTGTTATTAACTATCGTGGGACGTTCGATATTGAATAGAATTCGTTAAATAAAAAATAAAAAAAAATTGGGCTCGTCCGGGATTTGAACCCGGGACCTCTCGCACCCTAAGCGAGAATCATACCCCTAGACCAACGAGCCACTATATACGCCTCATGATTTTTAATAATCAATAATTACATTTTAACATACTTAATAATAATCAAGAATTACACTTTAACATACTTAATAATAATCAAGAATTACACTTTAACATACTTAATAATAATCAAGAATTACACTTTAACATACTTAATAATAATCAAGAATTACACTTTAACATACTTAATAATAATCAAGAATTACACTTTAACATATTTAATAATAATCAAGAATTACACTTTAACATACTTAATAATAATCATGAATTACACTTTAACATACTTAATAATAATCATGAATTACACTTTAACATACTTAATAATAATCAAGAATTACACTTTAACATACTTAATAATAATCAAGAATTACACTTTAACATACTTAATAATAATCATGAATTACACTTTAACATACTTAATAATAATCAAGAATTACACTTTAACATACTTAATAATAATCAAGAATTACACTTTAACATACTTAATAATAATCATGAATTACACTTTAACATACTTAATAATAATCAAGAATTTTGACAAATCTGTATTAAAGTGTATTATATATTAATAATTATAATTACTTATAATATGTTTTTTTATTTAGGGATCAGCAAGTGAGGCAACTATAGTATGTTTGCTAGCTGCGAAAGAACAAAAAACTCGTCAAATGAAACGACTTCATCCAGAATGGGATGAAAATTTCATCAGAAATAAATTAGTCGCGTATACATCTGGTAATTTATTTATATTGGCCTTGTAGAAGTTCCAAACAATAACTTCTTTTACTATTTTAGTACATACAAATTTCACTAACTGGACTTTATATATATTTTTTTACGTTTCCTAATTCTGTTTTACAGATCAATCAAATTCCTCCGTAGAAAAGGCGGGAATATTAGCGTCAGTCCCCATGAAACTTTTACCAGTAGACGACAAGTGCGCTTTACGAGGTGAAACATTATTGAAAGCAATCAAAGAGGATCTGGAGAAAGGTTTGATACCGTGCTATGTCGTGGCCACTTTGGGCACTACAGGCACATGTGCCTTTGATAATCTCGAAGAATTGGGACCAATTTGTAATGAATACGACATATGGATTCACGTAGATGCTGCTTATGCAGGTGAATAATTTTTCAAAATACAGTTGTAATGCTCTTTTATATTAACGAAGTGTAGGATTGCATAGTTTCCGGAGTACTTTGAAAAACATAAGATTATTTTTTTTTTCGAGATTCTGGAATGCAACTGACACGACATCCATTTTTAAAAAATTTAATTAAATTCCCTAAAAGAAAAGAATAATGAAAGAATAAAGAAGGTTGTGAAAAAGAAGAAAAACTAGAAATAAATGATGACAAATTAAACAGGTCGTTTTACATTACATTTTTTAATTACATGTTACACGTTTTATAGGTGCTGCCTTTGTCTGTCCCGAGTATCGACATTTGATGTCTGGCGTTGATTATGTTGACTCCTTCAACATCAACCTACACAAATGGCTACTCGTAAATTTTGATTGCTCTGCACTCTGGTGCGTATACCTTTGCTTCTCTGTCAACACGTTTCTCATTACCAGTAGAAAGTAAATCTACATTCTTAATAATTTTTAGGGTGAAAGATTCTAGGCGACTCATCGAAGCTTTCAGCATAGACAGAATTTACTTGGCGCACGACAAACAAGGACTTGCTCCAGATTACAGGGTAAATTGATTACTTCTAAGTAAATATGAGAATACTATACAAGGTGTATCAAAATATCTGGATAATTTTAATTAATGTTCAAACTGTATTTTTTACACTTACGATGCAAATTAAATATTGAAATCAATATCTCTGTAATAAATAATCATTTTTGTTAGAAACTGTGTTAGGGTAGTAAGAGTGAATATTTGTTTAAACTATCTATCAGAACTGGCAAATTCCCTTGGGTCGACGCTTTCGTTCGCTGAAAATTTGGTTCGTGTTACGAATCTACGGAGTGGAGGGTCTGCAAGATCACATAAGACGTACTATAAAATTGGCCCAATTATTTGAAAAATACGTAAAATCCGACAACAGATTCGAAGTAGTAACAGATAGGTCTATGGGTCTGATCTGCTTCAGGATGAAGGTGCGTACAGAAAAACTTAGAAAATAATCAGAAGCATAGACACTGCATTAAATTTAAATTCTTTTTCGTATGAACTACATTATTACGTGTATTATTAAACTATGGAATGAAATATTAATATTATTATATTAATCTGAAATATATTTCGTATACGTTCTGCATAAATTTTTGTATATTAACACATTGAGCGCCGGCACCAACAGCATGTAAAAATTTTTTATATTTTATAAACGTTGAACTCAATATATAATTTGAATGCATTAAACATTGCGCAATTTAAAAGAAGCAATACTGTTCCACATTATCGCGGGGCCAGCGCTCAAGCGGTAGACTCAGAAACCCGTGTTTTCGCGGGCCCAGCGCTCAATGTGTTAATATATGTATATTTAGGAATGTCATAAATAATGATAAGTTTGAAGATATTAATTTCACTCATAATTATAACAATTAAGATTCATTAATTTTAGGGCGAGGATCAATTGACCAAGGAACTTCTCAGTCGATTGACAGACGAGAGAAAGATTTACGTGGTAGCGGCAACTTTTCAAGAAAAATTGATCGTTCGTTTCGTAGTGTGCAGTCGTTTAAGCCGCGAGGACGACATCGTTTTTGCATGGAACGAGATCACGAAACAAGCGGCGGAAGTTCTACGATCGCGAGCTCACTCCTTGCAGGAAGAATCGCACGAGACTTTTACGAAATCCATCAGCGATATGGCGACGAGGATAGAAAGTTTAAATCTTGAATCGAAAACGCAAAAGATATCGTAGAACTCGCTAATTGGTATACAAATGTTAATTAGAAAACAGTAAGTCATTTCTGAAGCTTTTCGATTTGACTTTAGAAATTTAAAAATAATACAGTAACTATAAAAAAAGTAAGCGGTCGAGGATAATTTATATTTGCAGCGTTTTGGTGGAAAATTAATCGAAATACAACGGTTCTTAATTTTAAACGAAATTGTAGTAATAGCTTTGACAGTATTTTAATCTATGCCGATAGCGGGTTTCGTGTAGGTGATATAGTACATTTTATATATGTAGATGCTTCTTCAAGACGTTAATTGGTAGAAAAATAATAGAAATTGAAACGTTAAGATTTTAAAAGTAGTATACAGCTAATAATTATTTGAATTTAGCTATTTAATTAGAATTCGAACCGTAAAGAAACTTTGTGTGATTTAGTTTAAATACAGCCATTATAAGAATATTTTCTTGTAAAAATAATATTTATAATAAACATTCATTGTCTTTGTTCTGTAACACTTGCGTTACTAGTCTGCTACCTGGTAAAGTTCCTCGCCCTAAATGTTACCTCAGTCGGCTGTGAGAAGCTTTTAAACGACAACGGAATGTCATGACAGCAATGATCGTTTGTTTGTGCGTTTGACATGCTCTCCTTATAGCAACGTTCGCCAATAAAGAACCCTCCGCAATAACATCAAAATTTCTACCAAGATTAGGCATCAATCGTCTTCATGAACAAATTCACCAGTTTCGCTGATTCATGCCCAATGAAATGCTACTTACGAAGCCCGGACTACCGTTTCGGAGGTTCCAGAGAGTTTTAGTAAGGTAGATCTGAAGAATTGAACTCTTTTTGAGACGGTTAGGTTTCGAACATCCGGTTTTACGTTACTACTTCCTTTTCAACGTTTGTTGCAACAGGACGGATTAACGTATTCCTCGTTTTGGTCACGAAACACTGTAAAAAGAAAAGTTTTTGAGGTTAGAATTGACGTTTCATAACTTCATCTACTGTCTGTGTCAAACTTCATGATCAGGAGAAGGGTTATTTTATTTCTTCCGTCGGTCAACATATAATATCTGAAGTTTTTATTTTAACAAATTGGTATTCTCAGTTCGATGTTTATGCTTTTAAGATTTAATTATATAAATATAAAGAAATTACGATACGATGATGGGAAAGATGGCTGACAGGAAAAGCAGTATTCTACAAATAACATCAGTCACAGTTTTGAATAAAGTTTAATATAAACTCGATTTTATTTTAATATTATTTGAAAATAGTTCAGTTTATGCTTCCATCTTTGAATAACTGTTTACACATCTGAGTAGAATATCGTTGAAAGTAAAATCGTTTAAAAACAGCAAAGTACAAAATAGTAAAAAGAATTTTATATGTCGAGAAAATTATTAGTATGAACTGCGAAAATAAATATTCAATTTTATAGATCTTCATTTTATACGAATTCTAATGAAATGCAAACTCGTTCAGGATAAATATGCATTCATGTTAATTCATATAATTAATATCCAATAGAGTTTTCTCGTCGACTAAATGTGGAGGAGGAGAAGGAGAAAAGAAGGAGATACCAGCATGCACAAGACTGGCCAGATTCGAGTCATGTCAGCTAGATCCTTGCATGCTGGATCCATGCAAACCGGAACCGACGGTGGTGATCATTGGTGCAGGGATGGCTGGACTCTCCGCTGCTCATCGATTGGCACAGTGTGGTCTTCAGAATTTCACGATATTAGAGGCAACGGATCGGTATGTCATATACAAGATGTTCCATAATATGTGATAAAATTTACTTTAATACTTAACGTAGTTAGTAAATGTAATGATAGAATATGCCACGATGAGACTTCTCCACAGAGAATGTCTCCTGAATCTCAAGCTTCTAAGACTCTAGTCTTCAACGCGTTGACTGCCAGACCAAATTTGTAAAATTTTTCACGAGATCAGTATTTTGTTTTTAGCGGATTATTTAATTTAAAACTTAAGGTAATAGTTATTTGTTAATTCGATCGACATTCATTTTCCTTAATATCTCGCCATAAGTAATTTTTTTATCGTTCATGTATGAGACAAATTGACCAAATTGCTACTCAAATAGCAATTTAAAACTTATCGTAATAGATATTTGTTAATTCGATAAATATTCATTTTCCTTAATATCTCGCCATAAGTAATTTTTTTATCGTTCATTTATGAGACAAATTGACCAAATTGCTACTCAAATAGTAATTTGGTCAATTTGTGATGAGCGATAAAAAAATGTAAAAATAAGTAATGCTTCTCAAATAGCAAATTGGTCAATTATATGAGCGATACAAAATTACTTATTGCTACTTATATAGCAATTTGGTCAATTTGTCTCATATATAAGTGATAAAAATATTACTTATAGCGAGATATTAAGGAAATTCGATCTAATTAAAAAATAACTATCACGATAAGTTTTAAATTAAATAGTCCGCTAAAAATAAAATACTGATCTCGTAAAAGAATTTACGAATTTGGTCTGGTAGTCAACGCGTTGAAGACTAGGGTCTTAGAAGCTTGAGATTCAGAAGACATTCTCGTTGGAGGAGTCTCATGATGACATATTCTATCGTTACGTTAGCTTATAGAATTATAATTTTGATTATATAAATAAAAGATCTTAGCAAGTATCGAGAAGAAATCTTGTTTGCAGACCAGGAGGCCGAATTCATTCGTGCTGGCTGGGCGACGTAGTAGCAGAAATGGGAGCCACTTGGATCGAGGGAGGTTGTGTGGCGAATCCCGTTTTCACCCTGGCCGCCCAAGAGGGTCTTCTGAAGCCACCCGTATTCAGGCCTGATCCGAGTCGTGGTCTTTTCTGCACCAGCGACGGACGAGCCATCGATCTTCCCGTTAGCATCACGGCTTATCACACGTTTCGTCAAATCGAGCAACAGGCGGCCACGCTTTTCTCCTTAGGTTGTGGCCGCAAACACGGCACGTTGCTGAATTTCATGGGCGTCAGAATTCAGCAGGAGCTCCACAATTTCCCGGAGGAGCAACGGTACAGTTGCCCAGGTCAATTGCAAACTTTACTAGCAGTGATGTAAAACGGAGTTGTGAGAATCCATCAAAGTTTCCCACTTTTTTTTTTTACTTTTTTCATGGACTTCGAATTTTTTTAGAACATTGCAATTTTTTCAACACTATACTTCGTCGATACTTTACTACTTAACCCCTTAACGCAATCACACAAATTTCTTTTAGCAAATTGCTTTCTTTGCACTGTTCTACGATTAGTAAGAGATTACATAGATAGAGAAGTGTTTGGTTGCTGGATGTTGCCAGAAATTCTTAATCCTCTATGGGCCCGTGTAACTTTCTAATATATCGACATTTTACCAAATAATTTTAGTTTTTTTCACAAGATGACGTATACGTCTTAAGGGGGAAACCACTATAACTGCTGAAAATAAAAGCAATTTTCAAGAATTTTTTGAGCGTAACTATGAAACATTTTCTGATAAATTTTTAATGTTTTCGAAAGTTCATTTCTTGAACTGCTACTTGCAAAAATTTCGTACGAAAATATTAATTATTATAATAATGATAGGAACCAGCCCGAGAGGCCTCCAAAAATGTGTCAGAAATGGGCAGACGTGTAATTTTTCTCTGCAAGTTGTGAAACAAGAAATCATATAATTTTCTTAAAGTATAAAACTTTAGAGATATCATAATTTAAATGAAGGCGTAATTTTTAAAAGATTCTAATATATCTCTCTCCGTGTTACGGCAGACTACTAACGCGTATTGAAATTACTAAAACTTTAATTACATGCAGTTTCGAAATTACTAGATATTTCTGCATAACTGAGCCATCGTTGCGAGTGGTAAACCTTCCCCTTTAAAATGGTCTTCGGTTTATGTCGATCCGACTTTCCGTTTTCGAGATATCGTAATTTATGTAAAAGGGTATTTTTTTTAATTTGACTATCTCTGTCTCTGTCTGACGCGTCGCGTTGGACCTCTTTCTCGCGCACGAGTCGAGACTGTTTACTATTTACCTATTGGGACCAATGAACTCGCAACGTAAACAATGAAACGTAAACAAACTCTAACTCCGAAACTAGCCACCGCATCGACTTGAAACTAAAATCGCTATATCTCCGAAGCTAATAAAGCTATCGACTTGTTCGCACGCTTGTTTTAAATGGCACTTCATCCTCTACCTAACGATCATATCACCTACTATAATTTTTTCTATCTTCTATGTTTATTTTGAAATTTACTTTGACGCTACATACCCAATGAAGTTTCAGCAATTCCTACTGATCGTACAACTAGTACACGATAAAACTGGATTATAAATTGTTTATTTAATTGAAAATGAATTTAAATCTGTATATAGGATGCTTGCATAATTACTAGCCAGCACTTTTTCTTAAATAATTGTTTTCTCTAGAACTAACTATGGTATCGACACCAAATAAAATTCGTTTTAAGGGCGTTTTACCTTCTATCTGATGAAAATTAAAAAATTTCGACATAGTTTGTAAATTTTTCTGTATAAAGTTTAAGTATGCACATTTTGAGTAAAAGTATTGGATATTTTTGTACAGATTTTTAAAATATGCGACGTAAAAGGGAAATATGTATATCTTACGAATAAACTTCAAGATACAATTTTCTATGCATATGATGCAAAAAGTACGTTACTTCGCAAAAGAGAAAAAGTCACGGTAGGAATGGGTATATGAAATGTCGGTAGATTTAGTGTTAAGAGAAAAATTCGGCCCATAGAGGGTTAATACGTAACGTTACATCACTGCGTTCTTAACGACACGATATCGTAGATTGTTTTCCATCGATACCGTTGTCCATTTCGCGTCATCAGATACGATGCAGCCAGGGTGATGTATGGGATGACAAACTGCGTGAGATGTCGATGTGGCGACGATCTGTCTCTAGTTTCGGCCGATCAGTTCGGAAGCTACATCGAGATTCCTGGTGGTAACGTGAGGGTGCCTCTCGGATACGTCGGAGTCCTTGCCCCGTTGCTAAGGGATTTGCCAAGCTGTTGTCTCAAGTTAGTTGGAGAACACTATTTTATAGAGGAATGATAAAACACGTATTCTGTACTCCCGTTAGATACTCGAAGCCAGTAAGTTGCGTAAGATGGGGCGCCGTAACAGATTCCTGTCCTCGAGCAGTAGTGAAATGTTGCGACGGCGAAGAATTCCCCGCTGATTACGTGATCGTCACCGTTCCGCTTGGCGTTTTGAAGCACCAACACGACAAACTTTTTTGCCCCGCGTTGCCAGCGGAGAAAGTGGAGGCTATCTGCAAATTAGGATACGGTTATGTTAATAAAATATTCTTGGAATACGGGAGGCCATTTTGGGTGTGGAAGGAAGGCGGAATAAAATTGGCTTGGTCGGCCGACGAACTCGCTGACAGATGCGACTGGGTGAAAGGTAAATCGACTTTCTTTTCTCGCGGAACATCGATACTAATTTTTCGCTTAAAAAGTTCCACGGTTCGGATTTTATTGAGTAACACGAGATTCGAAATGAATTAACACTAAACCTACCATGACCGTTTTTAAAATTCCATTTAGATTTTCTAAAAGTTATTCGTTGACCCCGCAAAATAAGAAAAACCCCATCAAAATGGTCCAATTTTCAAACGGCCATAATTCCTACAATAGTAAATATATTTGAATGAAATTTTTTTCAGAAGTAGTGCTCATGGGTACCTACAAAAAAGTAATAGACAATATTTTCGTACAACGTCAAACAAATTTATTAAAAATCAGAAACGAATTTTTAAGAAAAATCGGCAGGGTGTAGCTGCCTTCGGCGAAAAAAAAATTTCAAATCGTTCTGAAAAAATTATTTCTAGCTAAGAGGGTTAATTACAATAATTTTTGGTAAATAGACATATCCCCGAAATCCTACACACTTTCGAGAAAAAAATTCTTTATCGAAAATATACTGTGCGGTCAGAAATGTTTCCCAGCATGCGTATGTTTAAAACATCATAACTTCTGGACGGATTGTAGTATTTTAATGATTCAAAATTCAAACAATGCGTATTAATGGATACGTTACAAAATCGTGGGGACAATTACGTGTCACGTTCTGTACATTAACAGAAATTTCCATGTGCCTTAGGAATTTCTAATATAGAAGAATTATCGACTTCTCAACACGTTTTGTGCGCGTGGATTTGTGGCCGCGAGGCGTCAGACATGGAATTGTGCTCCGACGAGGAGATCGTGGAATCGATAACGAAAGTTCTTCGACAATTCACCGGCGATCCAACGCTACCATACCCAGCTAATCTTCTCAGAAGCAAATGGTGCACGGATCAATACTTCGCCGGCGCATATAGCTACATGGGTCTGGACAGCACTGTCGGCCATCAGTGTGATTTGGCTAGTCCTTTGCCAGGTAGTCCTTTGTCGAGTCTAACAAAGTTCAAGGCTTAGAGGGTCAGAAAGCAATGGAAAGGTCCTTAACCCTTTCATTCATTTTATTTTTATAAAAGTTGTACCCATAATAGAATCGAACCTTGGCCAACGAACTTAATTCGTTCTTGAAGATCGATCTATTTTCCCTATAAGAATCAATGTAAACAGATCAATCGTAAAATGTAAATATAAAAAAAGCTACTAGTCGCTTCTAAATCTTTGTAATTTCTCCCTCCTCTTAATTGTCATATCTTTGTTCGTGTTTCTTTTGATCGTTAATTTCGTCACCAGGCACGTACGAACAATCGAGTAAGAAATATGGCGGCCATGACAGTGAATTTCAATCGCTCTTATCTACCCCACCTAAGCCTTATATGAAAAAAGCTACTAGTCGCGTCTAAATCTTTGTAATTTCTCCCTCCTCTTAATTGTCATATCTTTGTTCGTGTTTCTTTTGATCGTTAATTTCGTCACCAGGCACGTACGAACAATCGAGTAAGAAATATGGCGGCCATGACAGTGAATTTCAATCGCTCTTATCTACCCCACCTAAGCCTTATATGAAAAAAGCTACTAGTCGCATCTAAATCTTTGTAATTTCTCCCTCCTCTTAATTGTCATATCTTTGTTCGTGTTTCTTTTGATCGTTAATTTGGTCACCAGGCACGTACGAACAATCGAGTAAGAAATATGGCGGCCATGACAGTGAATTTCAATCGCTCTTATCTACCCCACCTAAGCCTTATATGAAAAAAGCTACTAGCCGCTTCTAAATCTTTGCAATTTCTCCCTCCTCTTAATTGTCATATCTTTGTTCGTGTTTCTTTTGATCGTTAATTTCGTCACCAGGCACGTACGAACAATCGAGTAAGAAATATGGCGGCCATGACAGTGAATTTCAATCGCTCTTATCTACCCAACCTAAGCCTTATATGAAAAAAGCTAGTAGTCGCGTCTAAATCTTTGTAATTTCCTCTTTCTCTTGATTTTCATATCTTTGTTCGTGTTAATTTTGATTATTAATTTCTTCACCAGGCACGTGCGAACCGATACCACCGATCCTCTTATTTGCTGGGGAGGCTACGATTCCAGGACACTACAGCACAGTTCACGGGGCCCGTTTGAGCGGTATTCGCGAAGCTGAAAGGATAATTCAGCTAACGAAACGATTCAGCGGTCCACCACAGAAAGTCCCCGATAAAGAGTAGCTAATTTCGCACGTAATTCCAAAGAACTGCGAAAAATTAGTAAACAAAGCAAATGTATATGCAGGGTGTTACCAAACTGACGCTCCACGCCGGAATAGAGCGAATCTTCGTACGAATCTTTGGTAATACCCTGTATAATCGTCCACGAAACACGTTTGTTGGTTCAAACTATGATTAATCGAAATTTTCTTCGGTAGAATGTAAAACACGTAATTTGTGATATGTTTGTCTACAAATTTTGAAGAAGTAAATTTTTCCTCTTCTTATTTAGTAATTTTATACATTTTACATAGAAACCAATTTTAATAAAAAGTGCAGTCTTTAGAATATTTATGGGTCTCGGTGTTTAATTCATTTCCTTAGCAACGAGTGAATTTTCTGTTCTAGATTAGTGTTAACACAGCGACAATATATCGAATATAGTCAATTTTGCATGTTAGTTTCTATAGACTTGTGACGCTGCTTCGCTGAGGGTAGGAACTCGTGATATTCGTAGGAGGACAGAAATTGAGAAGTCGTTCAAGGAGTGTATACATATACATATAGCAACCGAGGGGTCGGTCGAGTGCTTGTGAGAGCGCGAACCCTCTGGTGGCGAGCATGGGAGGCGACATCACAGACTTTCTTCCTTTAGTAATAAGTGTTATACTTAATAACTATTAGAAAGAAAATCCTTATGAAAAATGCATCTTTAAAAAATAAATTGCTCGCAGTTGATGTCTTTCTGTTGGAGTCTAGGATAAACTCGAAATTTCTAGCGAAGAAATAATTAACATAATTACTTCTTCTATAAAAAAAATGATTGGTAAAATTAAAATAATTTCAACATCAAAAATAAAAAAGATTATTAGAAAATGGTAATTGTCTAACAACATTGTTAGATGTAATACATTCTTTATTGAATCCACTTTGCTATAACGTCAAAGACACTTCGACAGACACTTTAAACATTTATATGTTACACGATATGCGTATATGTTCGCTATGAACTGTAACTGTTCGTCAAAGAAAAAGTTGAAATAAATGTTCACACATCGATACAGCAGGTACGTAATTACATACGGTTACATATCTTTCTATTACTTTCCGTTGGTCCCGTTTAACAGCAATCCGTGTTATTTCACCGAGAAAACGTTCTTATATCTTACAGATTAATGATAATAATCATTCGTTAGATTCATTGTTTTCTTTTTTTAAATCTTACATTAACACTTTCAGTGTACTTCTTAACTTGGATAAAAATTATTTGTTTCTGTGCCTTCTATGTGTACAAAGTTAAATATATTTCGTACCGAAAAATATATCGTTTTCAATTATTACTGTTCGTATTATAAATACAAAAGTGCAGAATTGTAACCAGTGCTAATATTTCTTTTATCTTAAGCATCTTTAAGAACGTTTACTCGTTCGATAGACCAAACCGCGCAAAGTAATTCTAGATCTATTTATTGTCCCAGTTGCAGTACTACTTTACATTAAAAATGCCATAAGTGTACTCGAGGCAATACGATTTCTTCGTGAAATCAATAAAATTCTACATTAATCTCTAAATAAAATGGTATTAATGGCAACGTAACTTGGAGATAAGCAAAATGTACAATAATATAAATAATTATCAGATTATTACTATTAAATCTTAATATTATCATGTATAGCCATTTTAGCTCCTGTTTGTTTTAATTTAAATAAATAATGGTTGTAAATTATAATAAACAAATAATTGCTATAACCTAAATGATCAAAAAACTTGAATAGATTTAAATATATAATAGCCATAACTAGTTTTCGTAGTACACGATTAAGTTGTTGACTCATATTTTCGATAATATTATGTTTTTAATAAAATACTGAATTTTCAGAAAATTGAACAATGTGGTTGTAATAATATTATTTTACAATCAGTCCATTTCGTATCTAAAATTGTCAATTTACAATTTAACAATACTCTGTAACTGATCATATAAAATTGTTTGATCAAATACAAATAATTGTTAATAATTGTAAACTATAATTTTCCACAAAACGAGTTAGACCAGTATTAGAATTTTGAATATTAGAATCGATATTTACAAGAGTTCCGAGTTTCGATAATGAAATAAATAAAATAATTCTTTCCTTAACGATTCAATAACTATGATATTGTACCTCAAGTACGATCATGGCAAATAAATTTAATATTCGGGAACGAAGATGGCTTGCGTAGGTGAGGAAGATACATTGCATAGATTAAACTTACAACTAATAATTATACAGGGTGGGCCAGAGTGTGCTCCTATGTGAAATAAATAAGAAAAAAATTTGATGTAACATTTTTTTCATCCAATTTGAAAAAATCAATTTCGAAGTTCAACTACGGTAGCGTTTCTGGCCCACCCTTTATAACTTATTTACAACATAAACGTGCTAGGTGTGTAATTTGAATATTAGTATATACGAGTGTTAGATCGATTAAATCAATAAGAATTCGCTTTTGCATTTTTCAATATTTTATACATATCATACCAGATAATTAAGGAGCAATGTATTATAAATGAGCGTAATACTGTCAGTGATTATGCTACTCATGATGTTTAAACATCATTTGATTTGGTTAACACTAGTAAACGATGAATAAATAAATTTTATATAAACAACGAAGAAAAAAGAAGATAGATATGTCAACAGTGATTTTAAGTTCATAGTATCAGCAATTAAGTATTTTCAATTTTTTTTATAACTAACATTCAATTTTTCAGAATGTGTCAACAAAATTGGGTAATCTACTCTGACTTCAGTTTAATCTATGAATCAGCAAATATTTTATACAATATTCTATATACATAGGTATATCATAAACATATATACAACTCAGTTTGAAATCTAATCTATAAGTCTACTAATATTTTATACAATATTGTCTTCCATATACATGTTGGGACATTATCTATGCTACGAACGTAGCACAGAATATTTTTGTGCATAATTTATCTGCATAGAACACTCACTTCATTGAATATCTTCCTTTAAAATATTTCGTGAATATTTAACGAAAACTGTATTACCAAAGAATTTCATAGATACAAAATGCAAAAATGGAAAATGTAACAAACTATTACAAAGTAGATAAATGCAATTAGCGTGTTAGTCGTTCTAGGATAACAATGATCATAATCTAATCAAGAATGTGTGATTAAGATTGAAGATTGTTTCATTAAGAATGAATATTCACTTTAATATTCAGATTTCAGTACATATTCTAAGTATCATGATACTTTTCTCTATCGAGGAACTTAGAATAGTTCTATTTAACAAATTAAAAAAAAAGTTTCATGAATTTTTTTCGTAATTACATGGAATTTTCATTGTGATGAAACAGGCTACGTCTGGAGCGCGTTATTCCAAACACGATCGAATTCAACGCTAGCCTTCGATATCTACATTATAACTACACAGATTCAACATGAATATAATATTACACGTAATTTTGTGTTTATTTTACTCGCACTTTATTAAGTAAATGCAAAAATTCTGTCGGATATCTATTAGCAATATACATTGGATAGAATAATTTGCAAATGAGAAGAACGAAATTAAAATAACATTTATCGAAGTCATCAGTGAGGTTTCAATGTTCACTATTGGCTGAATTTCTGCAGATACCCAGCATTTCCATAAGTTGCACGAATGCCAACTATTATGCAACAATTCGTGCTAGTCGTGCCACTTAACATGGTCGCAGAAAGTGACCTAACGAGTATAGGCTCTATGTACGTTTAGCTATGCGTTGGAAAAGTGTCACGCGGCAACAAGTAATACTGCGACTATATGAGCTACGAACTCGCCAGGGTAAAACAGCACTCGAAGAACGATCTTTGGCATTTTGTATTCACCGGATCTGTCTAATGTGTTTTCGAAAATATTATTTTCAAAGAATTTACTACGATTCGTTAAATTTTAGACTATTATGGCCCGGTTCCAATTGTAACGTTGAACAACTCTTTAAATAAAATATTATAAATAGTAATGAGACGCGGGAGTCAGATAATTAAAACATCCTAACAATCTCGACTTCTCCTTGTCAGCTATTTTTAGATCAGAGTGGAAGGATTATGCTTCCTACGAAAGCAAATTGTCATTTAAATTTAGAATTTCTTCAATCTTCTATAAAAGATTTATACTTGAGCGAAGAAATATTGTTACGAAAGAAATCGAATCCACTGTATTTAACGATAAAGAAGAAATACGTAAGACAGATCCCTATATCTCAATCATCCATTCCTCCAAGACTAATCAAACTCGAACCAACTACATAGGAGCTACGACTGATTGCAGGTTGCAGGAGACAAGGATCTGCAACCACGAGCTATCTGAGCCCGCCATCACTTAGAAACCGATTGCTCTTCGAGGACCTCGGTGGCTCTCAGTTTAATCTCCTTCCAGGAACTTAGAATATCCTTGCTTTCGCTGAATCGCGAACAAATCGCGAAACGTAGGAAATACATGTCATTTATCTTGGATGGCACCAAATGAATGTTTCCAGCTGCATTAATCCTTTTGTATAGCGTTTCGTTTATGTCATTCGAGCCCTGTGTGCAGTTAGCAGATGTCAGACACTTTGAAAACAATTTTTGTCTAGTCGGATTTATCACAAACAATAATTTAAAAATTATGTACCTTTATTCTGAAACAAACGAGTCCTAGTATCACTTCAGCAACAACTTCGAAAAGAGGATCTGAGAGGACCATAGCTTCAAATTCGTGAGCTTGGGCAACGTGATTTCTGATGTACCGTTGAAGATTTTCCACGCCATAAATTCGTAAGACGAACCAGAGTTTCAGCGCTCTGAATCTGCGGCCCAGTGGAATTTGCCAATGCTGAAAAATAATGTATATCGAAGTATAAATGAAAATTTTTTAAATCTCAAATATATGGAAATTGTAAATAATTAGTGATCGCTAGTGGTTTACGATAAGCTGATGTTTAAATAAATCAATTTAAAAAAAAAGGTGAGCTCGTTGTTGGACAATTTTTTATTTACATTTTCATCTATCTTTAACCTTTTACGTTTCATAGTTATAGTTTCTTCAAAATTACCCTGTAGTCCGGAGCTGATCCTTGCATGTCATGCTTCAAGTATAGTGGATCGACGTTAAACGCGTTGATGACATAAGTTGGATCTTTCAGCCACATTGTCGAACAGTCGAAAGTAACCAGCATCCACTTATGTGGGTTGAAGTTGAACGAATCTGCCAATTCGATACCCTTCATTAAGTATCGAAATTCGGGGCAAATGAAAGCGGAACCTGTAGAGGAATTATTAGAAAATTGATCGATGTGAATTTATAAGAGATTAGTATGGTTATTTATCAACCCACCAGCGTAAGCTGCGTCGACGTGCAACCAGACATTTTCACGATTTGCAACTACACCCATTTCATCGAGACGATCGAAAGCGCACGAACAAGTCGTTCCTAAAGTTGCAACAGCCTATAAAACGGTGAAAATGTTTATTTTATACTCGTTATGCAAAATATTTTTTTAGATAGATTTTAACACAAACTAGTGTATACTTCTGTTTATAAATTCAATACTTTTTAATGTTTATGAAACCTTGGGAAGTGTCTATTTGAAATCAATCCATCGCCCTAACACGTTTCCTGATTCGTGAAACGAAAAAGAAGATTTTTATACGTGCACGTATGGATTCAAGTTATTTGAAGTATTTCAAGACGAAGGTAAATAGTAAAATTTTTAAATAAATATTCTTAATTACCGAGTGACTCACAGTTTTCAGGATTACAAAATCTTAAATTTAAACATAATAAAAGTAACGAGCGATAAATACGAGAAATTACATAAATAAACATAAAACTGCCTTGTTGCTCTGACATTATTGTTACGTTTAAATTTAAAGCTTTGTAACCCTGAAAAGCATAACGTGTGAGCAAAAAGAAGCAACATATGTTGTCAATTAATATGAGTTTGAGTCTTTGTTCATTTTACACATAATAATTCACATTCCTGAAGAGTTAAACAATCAGTAGCAATATTACTGAACATAAAGTATTATTATAGTCGTATTTTTCGTTCAACTAATTATTTAATACAGCGTATCTAACGATAGGTTTGTTTAATATACACTTACAAGGAACCATCGCGAACGGTCCGGCTTCAATTTTGATGAAACTTTGTACACTTATAAAGCAGCCAAAAATAATCGACACGTATTTTTTTTTAGCTGCGGTAACTCGAGTTTAAGGGGTGAAACCACCCCTTGAAGTTTTGGCTCGAAACGGCTATCTCGAAAACGGAAAGACATACAAAAAAATTGTTAATGGGCGAGGTTGATGGTTTCTTATGTACAATAACATGGTGTTAAAAAATTTAAAAAAATACAATTTGTTTATAACAAAAAAAATTTATTAACTTAATTTTTCATTTTATTGAAATTTTCATAATGACAAAAAATGACGAGCATTTTATTCCAAATCCATTGGTATGCGATTTTTTAAAATTGCCTCCTACAGTTTTGCAGATTTCGATGATTTATCCATTATGGTAGTAGCCGTTCTAACTTTGATTTTAATGAAGCACTGTAGGCTTGCACTACTTCTAGAGGACAAAATCGGGAAAAATACAAGAATACCAATTTGTTGATGGAGGCTTCGTTAAGAAATTATTAACGTTTAAAGTTCCGCCCGTACTGAATTTTTTTCTCCGAAATGCCCAAGATTTTGGGGGAATGTGTAATGACCAAAAATGATTGTAATCGACTCCTGCAATCGAAAATAATTTTTTCAGAATGGTTTGAAATTTTTTAATTTTGTTGAAAAATTTCACACATTCTCGAATTTTTTTCTCAAAAGTGCGTAGGATTTCGGGGGTATATATATTGACCAAAAATGATTGAAATTGACTCCCGCGACTGAAAATAATTTTTTTAGAACGATTTGAAATTTTTTTTTCGCTGAAAAATTTAGGCACCTACGCCCTGTCGATTTTTCTTAAAAATTCGTTTTTCATTTTTAATAATTTTGTTTGACGCCCTACAAAAAGTTGTCTAATACTTTTTTGTAGGTACCTATGAGCTCTACTTCAGAAAAAAGTTTCATTGAAATATATTCACTATTGTACGAATTATGGCTGTTTGAAGATTGGACCATTTTTATGGGGTTTTTCTCATTTTGCGGGGTCAAGGATCAACGTTTTGCATATTTTTGCGATTTCTACGTATTCTTGATTAAAATACGCGTCGTTTGCATTTTTGAAAATTAAAATCCTTCAATCCGTTCAGAAGTTATGACATTTTAAAGATCCGCATGAAATTTTCGGACAACATTGCTGGCCATAAATTACATTTTCGATTAGGAATTTTTTTCTCGAAAGTGCGTAGGATTTCGTGGGTATATGTATTGACCAAAAATGATTGTAATTGACCCCCGCAACCGAAAATAATTTTTTCCTGGAAATTTGGAATTTTTTAGTTTAATTTTTTAATAACTTTTTAACGAAGGCTCAATCAACAAATTGATATTCTTGATTTTCGTCTTATTTTGGCCTCTAGAATCTCCCATTAAAATTTTTCCCAAGGGTGGCCGAACTTTTCCAAATCCATTGGTATGTAATATTTTAAAATTGCCTCTTACAGTTTTGCAGATTTTGATGATTTACATCTTGCGCGCACATCCATTATAGTAGTAGCCGTTCTAACTTTGATTTAGTGCAAGCCTACAGTGCTTCATTAAAATCAAAGTTAGAACGGCTACTACCATAATGGATATGCGCGCAAGATGTAAATCATCAAAATCTGCAAAACTGTAAGAGGCAATTTTAAAAAATCGCATACCAATGGATTTGGAATAAAATGCTCGTCATTTTTTGTCATTATGAAAATTTCAATAAAATGAAAAATTAAGTTAATAAATTTTTTTTTGTTATAAACAAATTGTATTTTTTAAAATTTTTTAACACCATGTTATTGTACATAAGAAACCATCAACCTCGCCCATTAACAATTTTTTTGTATGTCTTTCTGTTTTCGAGATAGCCGTTTCGAGCCAAAACTTCAAGGGGTGGTTTCACCCCTTAAACTCGAGTTACCGTAGCTAAAAAAAAATACGTGTCGATTATTTTTGGCTGCTTTATAAGTGTACAAAGTTTCATCAAAATCGAAGCCGGACCGTTCGCGATGGTTCTTTGTTAGACGTAAATGATATTGAGATGACACCAAACTTTTTAAAATATAACATTAAATTTTCCCTCATTCTATCGTAATGGAAAATATTTCAATTAAATTTGGCCTTACGTAAAATGGAATTAGTCCTTGTTCTTTGTCTTTGCGAATGGCTTCCGCGAGGACGTCGCCGCGTAGTTTGTATTTTGAGTCCGCCTCGAGCAACCGGAACTTAACACCCCCAAGAAGTCCTGCTCGTTCTACGGAACTATGAGCTTGAGCTGAACAATAGCGAAACAGAATGTATTTACCCTCTGATTTACACCTACAAGTTTATTTTATTGTCACACTTTGGTAACATTCTGTTTAATACTAAATTACAAATTAAAAATGAAAACAAAACACATTTCATCAAACGTCCCAGAATTTCCTCTATTGCAATAAGAATAACGAAAGAACCACACTGTTTTAAATATTAATCCGTTGCTATATATTTCGCGAGATAAATTGTAAAATCTTCAAGGCGTTTCATTAGTCCAGTTTCATTCTTCCAATCTCTAAAGAACAATAGGCAGTCGCAATCCGTCTTGAGAGAGATAATTATCAATGCAGATTTTCGATAAAGGAGAATCTCGATCTCATGGGACAACAGAGTTCTTCTTTCTTTTCTTGCTGAGGCAACGGATGGTAAATTATGTACATAGGGTGTTCTGTAAAACATACTACTCGCGACTCAGGTAATTTTGTATAAAAAAGTGAATTGAAAATGTGTGATAAAATTTTTCTATATAACCCTTAGCTTTTAGGATAATCAAATTCGAAAATTTCTCGAGCATACGTGCAATTAAACGGGCTTTCACGCCTGTATGTCCTGATAAGCGGTGATTCTACATCAAATCGAAAATATAGAATATAATTTTTCCATTCAAGGGTTTGTTTTTAAGGGAAACAATTTTGAAAAGTTTTATTTTATTGTGTGGTATATTTTGCTGGACACTTCGTGTGTCAAGAGGAAATTGTGAGATCCTTTTGTGCGGCGGTAACTTTCTGCGATTCGACGTGGCTGGCAGACAGAAGTGGCAAGAGAAGCCTGGACTCGCCGAGGGGGTGGTCGCGGGGGTGTTTCAGGATGGTCGGGTTGGAATAACTCGAGTGGTTATTACGCGTTGCTATGGTGACAAAGTGCTGGCTGATGAAGTGCTGCAACCCCATACTCGCCCTGTCAATCCACCCCCGGCTCGCGCACCTTTGTCAAATGTTAAAGAGCGCCGGCCAACGTCATCGTTAATCTTGTTTACGATGAATCAGGGTCGGCCACGCGCTCAAATTTCTATTCTCTTAACCGTTAATCCTTTTGCCATTGTTATTTTTCCTCTTTTTTCATTTTCTTTTCACATTTTCATTCTTCACCCAATAATACATTGAAAGTAATTTATTTCTACGTACACGATATACATCTACCATTAATGTCATTTACTCAGAGTCGATTTCTTTATCCACGATTTTTTTTAAAATGGTTCTTTTTAGAACGATTTATTGATGACCAGGAAAGTTTAAAAATTGGTCACGTTCACGAGTAAGGGAGAAATTGGAAGCTTCATCTAGCTCTTACAATTTTATCAAACGTTCATAAAATGTTTTTAAATACATTTGACGCATTAAAATGATTTTTGTAATTGTTTTTGTGGTTGGATGACACATTTTTTAAAATTATGCGTGAAGAAAATTACTTACCGGAACTGTAAGCGACCAGTTTTTCAACGATCTGATAATCAGTCCAATCAGGATGCTGTTCCTTGACCTGCCTTATTTTCCTAGCCTTAGCGCCGAGAAGTGCCACTAAAGTGGCTTCACTAGCAGTGCCCTATAAAACGAAATCACCCGTCGACTGTGGATTACGATCATTTAATTGCCACTTAATTTCCTGGCAGCTTGTTAAATGTTTGTAACTACAAAAACACAGTTATTTTTAAATTAGAATATCTCTCGAAGTGTCTGAAGTGATGTGAAAATATAAGGAGAACCGACCAGATTACACTAATTCATTTCAAAATTAACACAAGTGAAAGGGATATACGTGTGACTACATAATTTATTAATTCTTTGCACTCCACTGGCTATGTCGACATAATATGTACCGTAACTAGATACAACGCTTTATTTGATGGTAACGCAAATTGACTTAACAAAATATTTTAATTACAATTTTCCGATTTGGCGCTGGAAAATTGACCCAACGTTACTAGTTGCTTTAAAAAAAAATTGTTATAAAATATTACCTGAATCACGCCGCCACCTTTCCCACCGCTGCAGGCTAGAAATTCCTTGGGCAGATCTAACATTTTTCCTAGCCAGTCCAACATTATTACTTCTAGCTCGGTGCATGCAGGACTCGCAATCTGGCACAAAAAAATTAAATAATTGGACGATAATAACGTACATGAATAATTACAACTATTTCTTTGAGGGATATTTATTTTCAATCAGGCTGATATAATATAATTAATAATGCGGGGTCATTCCTTAAAAATTAACTGCTGGATTTGAACTACGAGAACGTTAAAAATAATAAAAAAACTTAATAAGGGGTGCAAAAATAGTTGAAAAAATATCAGAAATCTATGTATAATCAAAAAATTACATATTATTATGGACAAGAGTGTCAATGTGGATATTATAAATAAGTATTGGGAACGAATGATTAATATTATCTTGGTTCTTACCCAAGTGAATCCGATGCAAGCAATGGCGCCGCTGAGCATGTCAGCAACAATTCCTGGATAAGATTGGGCTGTGGGGAAGTATGCGTGAAATTTTGGACTATGCCAGTGGGTGACCTACGAGCAAATTTATTATTCGTGTAATCTTTTTTCCTAGAAGAAAACACTATGAAGTTACAAATAGGTTTTGATTTAATAATATCAGTCGTCGTTAGAAATGCGTATCTTAAAAACCAATTATCACAAAACGGTTCAAATTCATCACCATGATTTATTGACGTTTTCAATAAAAATACATAGAATTAGAGTTTTAGAAAGTTTTTAAATTTCGATTTAATCGTAAGCATAAGTTTATACTTACACCTGGCATTATTACTCTTTCTATGTCCGCCATGATATCTTTCCAACTTTCTGGCGTCTGTGGAGCCTCGGATGGCAAGAGAGGTTTCATATAACCTGGTTGCACGGTTGGCAACACTCTCCTAAAAATTGTATTTAGTTAGCCATTTTATTACTTAAAAGAATTTTTTTACTTTAAACAAGACTGAACTATACTTTTTTCTTCGTGGAAGCTTAATTCTTCATTTTTTTTTTCTTTCAAGTAATAATCACGAAAGAACGTTACCAAAATTTATTTCATTAATATTGTTCAGATTTTTAGAAACTTCTTTTTCATATTATAAAATTTCTATTAGATCGTGGATGACAGATTAGCACGAAACTTTTAGGGTCTTCTAATAAAAATTAATCGTTGGAAGCTTCGAACAAAGATACATGAAAAAATACGAAGGACGGTGAAACAGGATATGACAATAAAAAACAATAAAAAAAAATTCACCTGTCCCTGATATTCTCTAGATAATTAGTAATATATTCTGCCATTTCCTTGGCGAAGTCCTTGAAATTGTCGGGATCCATTTTGCGTTTCCTGCAACATTTCAGCATTCTGTTAATTAATATTCAAAACTTACGCTTGTGGAATAGGAATACATTATACGGTTGTGTATTAATGACTACGTATACTATAATCGATGATAATTACTTGCACTAAATTGTTTATACCAACAAAATACAATGAAATATAAAAAAAAGAAGAAAAAAGTTAAAATTTTCGAAACATACGAGTCAATACAAATCTGAAAAATACAAAATTTATGGTAGTAATTAATCGATAAAGTAATTTATGGAAAAGAATTAATGAATTTGTATTATTTGGAGGATTTCTACAATTGAAAAACTGTGTCGTTTCAAGTTGTTATGCTATTATGTACATAATATGCGATATTTGATTTCTAAAAAACGGCTAACAAAGCAAACTGTAAATTAGTAAAACGAACAGAAACCGTGAAGCGTGCACGAATTGTGCAATTAAGAATTATTCTGCGTTTCTCCGCTGAATAAAATCGGAACATTTGGAAGGCATTTCACGGAATATTAGAGAATGTACGTGGTTTCAATATGACGGGTGTCCAACACATTACTCTAGAATTGAGGGAGAAATATTGGATATGAATTTTACTCGACGTTAAATCGAATGACAGAGAACTGTGGAGTGGACGATTTCCGGTACTGGTTCCATTCAATTTTTATCTACCTTCAAATTATTCAAATAGACCCTGTTAAAAATATTTCATGCTATATTCGACTATAAACTATACAAAAGTTCACGCTTGGGAAAATAACAAAGTATTGGATTTATAATTTTGGGCAGGCCTGGATAAAAATATTTCAAATAAGAAGATACAATTTTAATTAATAATTTTCTTTATAATAATGGAATTATTATTTCCATTAAATGTATCTTTATGATATGAAATAAATCTTCAAATATTATTTCACGTAAACGAGTGTATTTCGTTAATTGTTCCCAATACTTTTCCAAATATTTTTATCCAGTTCAGCGTTTAGGTAACGTTGGCAACGTTCTACGCGTACGCTGCAATAATTGGCAAGAGCAACCTTCTCGATGTGGGTCTTGAGAATCGAGGCAGGAGGCAGTGACACGTGTCTCTTTGTTGAGAAGTGAGAAAGAGAGGGAGAGATTTGATCTATACATAATGATCTACAATTTCCATGGCAAGTGGAGACAAGTTGACTCGTGAAGGAATAGCGACCATGACTCATTTTTGTGATGCTGGTTTCGTTCGACTCCTTTCCCCCTGGCGATTTGTTCATAGCCTGTCTTCTGGAACTAGATCGTACAGCTGATTTGTCGCTAGATATTGGAAGGAAATAAAATAAGATTCCCTCTAATTCGGTTATACAGAGTGTTCGTTTAAAAACTTTACATCAAAATCTACAATCCATATTTTTATTAATAGAATTAATGAAATGGAAGCATTGTAGAGGGTTCTCTTAATCTCTAAATATAATAATTCGTATCTTATTTCGAACATTTTTCTATGTTAAGTGGAGTCTATAGTTTTTTGAAAATTTAAGTTTCCTATAAACGCATAAATATTCTCAATCTAATAATAAAAAACAGTTAAGGATAGAGTATGTTCCAAAATGTTCTCTTCTTCCGAATTTGATCAGACTTGGAAGTTCATATTACTCGGGGGAAGGAAGTGATCGAGGATTTATCATACTTGAACGTCAAAGAAACCCGCGGTTCCGTCGGGGATTCCCCTGATCGAGGCTCTGACGTCAGAGATGCACAAAACCAGAAATGCAAGATCACCTCTTGAGACACGTTAAGCATTTCAGGTCACTCAACTCTTCAAGAGGTGAATGTCTAATACTTTCACGAGTACGTGTACAATTTGCTATTGTTTACAAAAAAAATATCTGTGGGGAAACCCAGAACTGCGCTAATAAAAGGAATTATCTTTGCTGTTAGGAAATATTACGAGTAGAGTTGTAACTATTGCATTTTATGAGATAATAAACAATTCTCATTTAAAATATCTCATAATTGAGTATTAGTCTACGAACGCGTAACCTATTTTTCTGTTTCAATTATGCAAAACTAATTTTACTAACTTTTTACTCATTGTTCGAGGCCTTATCTCTCTCTAATTAAATTTCAGCAAAAACCAATTTTCATTTGTGACTTAAAATAATTATTTGGTTCAAACTTGGGCAAATTTTATTTGAAAATAAGAAATAGCTGTTTGAAATAATCGTTTCAGTCTTTTATTCTTCAAAATGTAATTTGAAATAACAGAAATAGTTTCAAATAACGTTGCGAGGAATAAAAGACAGATAGTTGTAACTATTGCATTTTATGAGATAATAAACAATTCTCATTTAAAATATCTCACAATTGAGTATTAGTCTACGAACGCGTAACCTATTTTTCTGTTTCAATTATGCAAAACTAATTTGACTAACTTTTTACTCATTGTTCGAGGCCTTATCTCTCTCTAATTAAATTTCAGCAAAAACCAATTTTCATTTGTGACTTAAAATAATTAGTTGGTTCAAACTTGGGCAAATTTTATTTGAAAATAAGAAATAGCTGTTTGAAATAATCGTTTCAGTCTTTTATTCTTCAAAATGTAATTTGAAATAACAGAAATAGTTTCAAATAACGTTGCGAGGAGTAAAAGACTGATTTGATTATTTCAAATAGTTATTTCTATTTCTATTATATTAAACAATTATTATTGTAATTATTTCATCCTATTATTTGAAATAGGAATATTCGACGAATTATTATTTTCTTCAGAATAAATTTTGGACTTTCTTCCAACAATTCGAAACGTTTTGTAATATCGTTGCAATATTTGGTCTAGATCGGCTATGACCGGTGACTGTTTCTTTAATTCGTGCTACGACCAAACAAGGTCGCAGTTATTGTGTTCTTATACAAAAATCAAGTTCTTTTCTCAAGTTACCCAACGAGAATTACTCAATTTTACCACCTTTCAATTTCTAATAATTACTCTGAATTTACTTCCTTTGTACGGTCTTTTAAAAGTTCAATAAAAAGCTCCAGGTCTCTTGAACTCGGCGTTATCAAATTCGCGAAATTGATAACTAAATCTCGCGCGATAAAGAGAAACTTTAAGCAATAATTGTACAGTACAATTACGACGCGCCAGAGACACTAACGCTGCATAAAGTGCAGTCTCTTTATTATGCAACTCCATTTATCTCGAGATTATTAATGCTTAAGCGTTAGAATTTTTCCGTTCGTATTACCTTGATAATATTTTTTGATTCTCCAAATTAGTCTCTATCGTTGCACTTACGTGCTTATTCTTGTCACTTATATTTATCTGCTTGTTTATTATTAAGCAAGCTAAAAGAGATATTATTTTGCTGGTAACTCTGGTACACCTTGTAACGGTTATTTGTGATGCAACACTAGTTGAATGTCGTAAACAGTTGTAGTAAAAGCAAAGTTGGGACAAATGCAACAGATAAAAATTTATCTCCGAGATTATATTTTTGTTATCATCGGACACTTAATTGCATAGTTCGATGTTCGAGTTTCATGCAATTATTACTATTTTATTATTTTACGCCGCTTGAAATGGAAATATTCTTTACATTGAATATACTGTACTCTGTTTATTATATTACTGATACACGGATTGGAATGCTTAGTAGTTTTCCAGCTATGAACATTAAGTAATACGCTTCAGATTAATTGATGCGTGGAATCTGAGGAAACAGAGTTTAGAATTGTTCTGAAATGAATTTGAGATTTTATAAAGAAACACGATCTCATGTAACATTAATTAGTGTAAATAACACTAAAAAATTTCACTCCAATCGCACAAACTAATAATTACTATAAAAGTATTAATTGTACTATATTGTGTAAATGTATATGAGTATGATTAAAAGATGCCATAAGTGTTGCAACGAGACGATCATCAAAAAGACTATAAGTCTATAAGAGCAAGTCATAACAAAGAGCGAAATACTTTGTTTTAATAACTAATAATCTAACCAAATTTTTGTATTTAATAATACTACATTGTTCTGATGCCATTCGAGAACAAAATTTCTCGATATATCACATTATAATACTATTTCCGTGATAGTTATCAAACTATTCAATAAGTGTTTCTTTGAATATAATGGTACGAAATTGTCCCCATAATTTCATTAATATCATCGACAATTAGTTTTTGCGTTTCATAATCTTCGTGCATCGCTTACCCCCGGGATTCAACGTTTCGGGTCGGAACGTCGCGGCTGGTTGACAGTTGTATCCACGTGGATCCGGTTGGCGGGATGCGTATCGTCGACAGAAATCCGCGAGAGCGTGTTCGAGCCACACACGATCCACGACGCGCGAGTGTCAGCGTAGTATTTGCCGTCCGGTGTACGCGTCGCTGTGTTTTATGTACCACCCCCACCACTTCATGTGATCCTCGGCACTTGTCGGCTCCTCCGAGCGGACCCTTTCGACCGATCGCGACTACGGCCTGCGCAGGTAGATCCGTTCGCCTCGTCCCTGAATCGAGGATTCGATTTATCTCGACTCGAAGTCGGTGATCGATAAACCCAGTCTGGGTGTTATTGAAATTCGAGATGGGCTCGGTGGATGCTTGGGTACACGATTAACGACTCTGTTGGTCGATCGTTGTTCCGTTAAGTGTCTTCTGCCCACGAGGGAATCTCGACGGCCCCGGATTCCCTTGGAGTTTCGGTGTACATATTCTGTTAACCTTATCAGCTCGTGGATCCCTAATTCTATTAGTCACTGTGCAACACAACTTTTCGGGGAATTAAACTTTGATAATAGTTCCGATCGCCGTTCCACCAAGTTTCTGGTTACAGGTGGCAGTTATGCATGAATTTCAGTACTGGCTTCTTATATACTTCCTTCGAGCATCGAATCGAATTAATTTTATTACAGATAAATCTATGCGTTATTTAGTAAATAAAACCTTAATTTAATTATAGCTATCTCGTTAAGCACGTTCTGTCGTTAGTAATCACGAGAGTGATCGTTCAACGGTGAATTCCCTGGGAAGGTTTGTTACTTTTGTTGGCTTGTCGAATACATATATAGTTTGTAAATAATGAAACATAATTGGTAATTTGATTGTTATTTCGTTAAGGATCTTCTTGTTATTAATTCTTCTCCTAACATAATAGAATTTATAATAAATTAAACTTTATTACTGAGACAGTCAAAATGGATAGCTAAATAATTACTAAACCATCGTTATACATGTTAATTTTTTGTTTAAAATGATAACAGAAACCTCGTTTGTATTAATGAATTAATGATTTGAGTGCAATAAGACTCCAAGCAATTCTTCAAAAAATAGGGTGCAAGTAATCTTATTTTTAAGCTTGTCGATAGAGTCAGGTTACGGGAAACATTGATACAAAATTTTATAGTCGTTAGAAACTCAAACGCTTTCTAGCATATTAAACCTCTTGACGTACCATTTAATTCCAAATAATTTTTCAAACGTATACTATTCAATTTTACTTAAGGAATAGCCACGAAAAAGAATAGATTCGTTTTAAAAATACCTAATCAACGTAACAATGTGTTGATTTTAATACATATGCCTTGATGATGAGTGAGTAGCTTCACGATTATGAAACTTGATATTAAGAACTTATAACGAGTCAGACTCGTCATTTTATGTCAAGGGGTTAAGTGTCATTCATCGAGAATCAATTCATATAAGACTCCAAGCAATTGTTCAGAAAATGGGGTGCAAATAATTTTATTTTTAAGCCTATCGACAGGGCCTGGTTACGTGAAACATTGATACAAAATTTTATAGTCGTTAGAAACTCACACATTTTGTAGCATATTTAAGTGTCATTCATCGAGAATCAATTCATATAAGACTCCAAGCAATTGTTCAGAAAATGGGGTGCAAATAATCTTATTTTTAAGCCTATCGACAGGGCCTGGTTACGTGAAACATTGATACAAAATTTTATAGTCGTTAGAAACTCAAACTCTTTGTAGTATATTCAAGTGCCATTCATCGAGAATCAATTCGTAGCAAACGAAGTGAAACAGGCTGAGCGCGAACGTTATTTAGTAAGGTCTAACAGCATAATGTCGTTTTGAGAATGAAAGCCGGCGACGGCAACGCGAATTGTAACTCGATTTCAAGTTCGAAATCAAGGGACCATTCAAACGTTGGGATCGAATTAACGCGTTCAAAGTCGGCGGTGTTCCCCGTCGTTGGTCCGGCGCGCCTTACAAAAATGGCCGCGTCAAAGCATCTCTGCATTGTCTGTTACGCGGTCGTGAAATTTATACGTTCGCCTAACCAGTTTGGACTTTCACCGTGACGATCGCAATGCTTCAAACACAATTGCTGCCTCGGTCGGTGGACAAACATCGAAGGTCGTTCAAACCAGCTGGAACTCGAAGGTTTTGAAAGGTGTGATTCCAATTTCGAACAGATTCTTTCCGCGATTCCTGCACACGTTGTAGACTGTTTCGAAACGCGTAAGGGAGAGTGGGGTGGGTTGTTATAATTGGTGGTTTCTTATTTTGGTACCCGTTCAACTATCGACAGTTATAGTGTATTTATTTGTACCAAAGAAATCAAAACGATATACTCGAAGAAATGTATAATCTTTAAAAAAATTTTTATTAGAAATTGTGAATCATTTTGACCATTTCGGTAATTCTAGTGTTAAATACACTTTTTACTATTAATAGCCACAGTTACAGTTTAAGATACTCTAAACAAAATTTGTTGAGAATAAGTATTGCATGCATGTATTTTTAATGAAACTTTGTATCCATTGGTGCAGTCCCCTCCCTTGCAAAGATCAGTACTACCTGAGGAGGACACTCGTTTATTGCACCCCTTGAGTGTCTCGTTTCTTTTCCGGGCCTCAAGCTCAGTTAGCAGAAAACCGTCAAGCTAAGAACAGCATTTCCGTTTTGTAAAACTACATTAATTAAATACATACTTAGCTCGAAACTCGAGCAAATAAATATTCAACAAAATTAATTTTGCAAACCGAGGCATTTTGTATCAGTGCGCCTCGTAGAGGGATAAGTTGTTACACACATAGAGATGCATGGATGCGGACGGTCCAGTAATTTCTAAGTATCTAACCCAGTTACAAATGAATTAAAAAACGCAAATTGAAAATGTCCACGTACAGGACCCTGTAAAAAGTTCTCTGTTCTCGATACATCCGTGACCGACATTGTGTTAGGAACGTTGACGTTCGAACAAGTTGTTCCAAGGGGAGGAAACCTGTAGCTTCCGAGCCGATTGTTCGTACGAGTAAGAATAATTACCGGTGTCTCGTGACGTCGTGACGTTTAATCCGTGAACTGCGTCAATGGCGTCGAGCGGAATCAGGTCTCGTTCACTTCTGCTTTCTGCATTCCCCTTCCATTGGATCGCGGAAAAATCTCCCAGGAATCCCGTGCGAAACGACACTGACTCATTGAGAGAGAAACGGAAAGGCCGAGCTAAAGGTGTGCGATTCAGCGATCGTGACGCGTGCGACATCCCACACTGCCTTGCATACAGGGTGTTTCTTACAACGGGAACTCTTAAATTTGTTAGCATTGTATAAAGTTTCCTAAGTATAAAGTTTTATAAGAAAGTAAGTTGACACGACTTCTACGAATACGTTTCTTGTGATAGAAACAATATAAACACTGTATCTTCTACATTCATATAGTAGATGGTTGGTTGTTATGATTTTGTTGCATAGGTGACAAAAATGTCAATTAATACGGTACTTTATTTTAGTTTGACACAATGAAAATTGATTTTTTAAATCTGTCAACTTGCTTTCCGAGGAGATTGTTGATAAAAATGTCGAATACCAATTAAAAGTTAAATAACTTCGCTGTTCAAGCGAATAACTATTGTATTTTTCAACGAGAGCCATAGAGGAGAATTTTTAATTGAAATAAAATGAAGATTACAAAAGATAATCTGATGCTCGTTGTTTTACTTTGATATACATTCTGTTATAATTGAACCAAAGATTCACTACTTTCATTAAACATAAAAGAACATTTGAACTTAATACTCATTGCAGTTAAATAATAAAGCATTAAGTTTAGCTCGCGACACGCGCAAACTCAGTTGTATCAACAAAAATCTGGGAGCCCCGTTGCTTACAATTTCTTATAATAAAACTAATTCCCAACACATTCGATAACATTATATACGAAATATAGTGCCACACGAATAACACGAATGATGTTTGCTTTGAGATCGTTAACAGTTTGTGAATGAAAAATATGACATCCTAATCGTTCCCATGTTTGGGACATAAAATGTCTGTGTTTCAGAAGCGAGTGTTTATTAAGATCTCTTTTCTTAGTTCTAAAGCTGGATTGCATTTGTAAATATTTTTGCGTCGCTTTTGAATCATCCTGTAGAATTGATGCACGTGACATTGCAATGTTGCTTGAATACGCATGCGCAGAAGCACTGGCAATCACCGGATTACTGTCCAAATAAGTTTTCTTGCGAATTCAGGTTTAGTCTAAAATGTCTTTTAATTGATATGAAATATATGTATAGGATGTTCGGCCACCCATGGGAAACATTTTAGTGGGAGATTCTGGAGGCCAAAATAAGACGAAAATCAAGAATGTCAATTTGTTGATCGAGGCTCCGATAAAAAGTTATTAAAAAATTTATTTAAAAAATTTCAAATCATTTTGGAAAAATTATTTTTACTTGCGAGGGTCAATTACTATCATTTTTTGTCAATACACATACCCCTGAATTCCTACGCATTTTCGAGAAAAAAATTCCTTACCGAAAATCTAATGTGGGGCCAGAAGTGCTACCCTGAAAGTATCTTTAAAATGTCATAACTTCTGAACGGATTGGAGCATTTTAATGTTTCAAACGGCAAACAATGTGTATTTTGGTGAAGAATATGTAGAAATTCTAAGAATATTGAAAACGTTGTTCGTTGACCCCGTAATGTGAGAAAAACTCCATAAAAATGGTCCAATTTTCAAACAGCCGTAACTCCTACAATGGTGAATATATTTCAATGAAACTTTTTTCTGAAGTAGAGCTCATGGGTACCTACAAAAAAGTATTCGACAACTTTTTTATAGAGGGTTAAACAAAATTACTAAAAATCACAAATGAAGTTTTAAGAAAAATCGACAGGGGGTAGGTGCCTAAATTTTTCAGCGAAAAAAAAATTTCAAATCGTTCTGAAAAAATTATTTTCGTTTGCGAGAGACAATTACAATCATTTTTGGCGAATACACGTATCTTCGAAATTTTTCACACTTTCGAGAAAAAAATTCACAAAGGTGGACAAATTCGACAAAATTAAAAAATTTCAAATCGTTCTGGAAAA